TTTGTTGCACAGGTGGCATCCTATCACAGTTCCACTTGGAATTCACTGAGCTCCTGAAAGCAACCCATTCTTTCACAAATGTTTGTAATGTCTAGGTACTTGATTTTATACACCTGTGGCCATGGAAGAACACCTGATTTTGATTATTTGGATGGGTGAGCAAATACTTTTGGCAATATAGTGTGTCTATTTATGGTTAATTTGTCTGAATGTCATGCTTTGAGACATTCCCTAGCATTATTGTCTAGGATTCTCACATTTTCCGCAGTTGAAACTATGGTTGAATCTATCCATATTGTGAGAATAAGGTGTTTTCATCATGTCTTATGATTCCTAGTTGATGTTTATGGATGCATCCTGTTAGTCTTCTGCATGTTCATGCCTGTTCACATTATTAATCTTTTTTAACATGGCTTTTTGTTGGAATATTATTTCCAGCTAATATGCACATGTTTAAAAAGGTTGCCATATGTATATGTATTTTATTGTACATGTTGATCATATAAGCAGGAAGGAATTTGCAAACCCGTTTTCAACTGGAGTTGGCAACTAAGATTACCGGGTGGAGAAGCTGGACAGAACATGTGTCTTTTTTCTGTGTTAAAACTTTTCCTAAACATTCTTCCAGGAGATGAATAAGTACAGGGACCATTTGGATTAAGGGGTCAGAGAAATCAAATAATAAATCATACTGTCAAAATGCTTTGATTCATAATTGGGTAACAAATTTTAGTTCAAATTATGATGAATGCAGACAGAAATTACCAGTAAGTTTCTTAGTTGATTTCTATTGTAGAGATGGTTCCAAGTTGGGCTTCCGATAATGAAAATTAGAGAGAGCAATGAATAGATCTCTTAATTTTAATGGTGTGCCTTGAATGTACACCATTAAAATCAGTGACTCCTTTATCTCATTACGCAAACACAAGTTCATCTTCACATATTCATTCAGTGAATGTAAACTATTGGCCTCTTGACATTGAATACTGCACGCTTTACACCTTGTGCACGCAAAGACCATCAAATTTCTAACATCATTTTTACTTGTTCTGAACACTAGTCTTAAGGGGTTATAGCCTTTTAATATTGTCTTTATTTGCACAAAGCTTTGCCGCAGGAAATCTGCTGAGAATTGTCCAAAGGTAAAATGCAATTTAAGCAGTAGTCTCTGCTAGTATGTTATTTTGTACATTTATTTCTCATAGTAGGTTACAATATTATTATTCAATATTTCTAGTTTTTTACAATTAGCAATATGCGTTTTATTTAATGCCTGAGGGAGAAATTGGTGCTCTGAAGCATAGCATATACTGACAGACAATTAAATGGATGTTAATGTTATCTATATTTTATTAATAGAAGCAATTTCAGTTCCCCGCTGTATTGTCATTGTTTAAAAGGAATATGCTTCTGAATTCTTAATATGAAGCTATTAATTGTTTAATAAGGTATTTAGCCATTTCCGCACATAAAAATTGTGCTATATTAATAAAACACTAAACTTTTTTCTCTACACACGAATCTTCAGTTTATGGAAAATATATTATATATATTTAAATATATGTATATAGAATTCTCTTTTTCTTTCTCCTGCTTACTGTGTACTCTGTTACAATACAAAGCTGTTTGGAAATGTATAAGGTATAATCTTGTTTAAATAGTTTAAACCACGGCTGTCACGCTCAATCGTATCATGGGATGTATCGTGACATATCGCAATGTTTTTTGCCTTTGCAGAGCCAGGGCAGGCGTGGTCTGCGCATGGCACATCCAGCCCACAGGCCGCCAGATTGACAGTCCTGGTTTAAACCCTCAAAAGTTTTGCAACAAGTCTCTGCAAATAAGCGAGATGATTCTGGTTAGGCCACTGCTATGTCTTCAGAGGATGTGATCCAGAGCCATACCATTTCAGAATCTCAGGGTGTTTTCCTCACACCTGCAGTTTAATTCTCTTCTCCTTTCTCCCTGCACGCAGAGAAAAATAATCATTACAAAGAGAAGAAAGGAAGGTCTTCCTCCCTTGAACTTTAAAGTGCCTATGTGGTGAGGAAAACCTGTTAGAAATTTGGTCTTGTTCGTCCAGCCTAGATTATGCCCTTCCTGAACCATTAATATCAGATTCCTTGAGCTCTTTGTTCACTACCAAAAGAGTCTTCACTGAACAGAAATAAACTTACGCTTTCTGAAGTCACTTTATTTTGGGGAAGAAGGGCAGCAGCCCCCCAAAAAATCAGTAGCCTTTTGTTCCCCTTCTTTGTGGACAGTGCTTTGTGGGCTCCTTCTTTTAGTAACTGTTGTTCTTGTGTAGGCTGAAAGTGGAAAAAGTTGGCTTAATTCCTTCATTGATAGTCAGAAATATACAATTGTCGATTTTAAACATTTGTGTATCCCTTAAAATGTCTTATCCATATCACCCAAGAATATACAGTTAACATATTTTTTTAAAAAAATAGTAGTAAGACAGTAAATAAAAATTATCAACATCATGGTACAGTGGTTAGAGTGTAATACTGCAGGCTACTTCTGCTGACCAGTGGCGGACTGCAATTTGGCAGTTCAAATTTTACCAGACTCAAAATTGACTCATCCTTCCATCCTTCCGAGGTGGGTAAAATGAGGACTCAGATTGTTGGGGGCAATAGGCCGACTCTATAAACCCTATGCAGAGGGCTGTAAAAGCACTGTGAAGCAGAATATAAGTCTAAGTGCTATTGCTATTATCTCACACACACACATCAGAGGTGGTATTCAGCCGGTTCTCTCCAGTTCATACGAACCAGTAGCGGCAGCTGCAAGAGGCTCCGCCCACCCGCCCTGACATAACGCGCAAGCACTGCACATGCGCAACATGCGCTCACATTTGCGAACCGGTAGGGAAGGTAAGTAAATCCCACCACTGACACACATATATTCTAGTTAAAAGAAAAACAAAGTGGAGTACTTCCTTCTTTAAGTTAATTTAATTAGCATATGGATTAATCCTTCTCTGATTCTCTCTCAAGATTATATGGGAGAAGGCTGCAGTGTTGCTTGTCTGCACCTAATACACAGCCATTTTCTTAACACCAAAGTAATCTTTAAATTGATTTCAAGAGAAGGCATTAATCAACATCATCTGAAATAGACATGGTTTGGAGTGTGTTGGGATTGGAAATACCATGAGTTCTGCAGATTCCAAGATATTTTTTTTCTCAGATCACTGCCCCTGCTAAATATCAACTACAGAGGTTTCCATATCTATTGGTGGAAATACAATTTGAAAGTCAGCCTTCTCTTCTATAGATAGAATTGCTTTTTCCCTTAGTGGAGAAAATCCTGAAAAGTCTTCTGATGAATTCCTCCCTTAAAATCTTGTATTTTCAAGAAGTTTCCTTAAAAATTTTTAATGCATCATTTATATTACTATTCTTTTCTTCTCTAACGAAAACATTGCTTAAATCTTTCTTACTTCAACCAGTGCAACAACTATTCCCTTGCAAATCATTAGTTATTCCAGATCTTCTATCCTTCCTTAATGTCCAATTTAACAAGATGAATTTGAACATTATTTCTTTTCCTCCTGACTTGACTGGCTGTTGTTAACCTTTCCAGTTCACTGACTTTTGTCTGTTAGTTGTGAAATTATGACCATAAAGAAATACACTGTCTGTTGTCAAGGTCACATATAAATGTTAGTTGCTGTACATGAATTCATGTTATTTATTTTAATTCGGAATAAAATAGTTGTAAGAAAATTTCATTTGAACAAAAAATGGATGAAAATGCATTAATACAGTTCTTTTCTTTTTCTTTTCAGAATGAACTTCCAGACACCCGTGCAAAATTCCATGTACTTTTTCTATTCTTTGTGGCTGCCATGTTCTTCATCAGCATACTGTCATTGTTTAGTTACCACTGCTGGCTAGTTGGTAAAAACAGATCAACAATTGGTTAGTAAATTACAGGGGTTATTATTCTTATTATTTCTGTTATTCTTTAGTTCCTACCCCATCCACTGACCTAGCAGCTCCAGATTCTCCAACTCATTCTCACAATAATTCTGTAAACTGTGTCTATGTTCAAAGTTGTATCTGACCCTAGATTACCCTGTAAATTTAATATCTGATCATATTTGCAAATAATTAGGCCTAAGAGAACAGAACAGAATAGAATAATAGAGTTGGAAGAGACTTGTAGATCTTCTAGTCTAACCCCATGCTTAGGCAGGAAACCCTTTACCATTTCAGACAAATGGTTATCCAGTCTCTTCTTAAAAACCTTCCAGTGTTGGAGCATTTACAACTTCTGGAGGCAAGTTGTTCCACTGATTAATTGTTCTAAATCTCAGGAAATCTTTCCTTAGTTCTAGGTTCCTTCTCTCCTTGTGTCCTTTTGTAAACACCTCTAAAGTGTCTTTAGACTTACAATCTTGTATCAGCAAAGATCAGATTTCTGTTTCTTTTCTTATCAAACTAAACTTAACATAGCTAAGAATATGAATAAATGAAATGGCAATGATGATGACAGGAGTTATTTCTGGCTACAGAAACTTTTGGGGAGATTGAAAAAAAATATCTCCCTATTGATGCCAGGCCACAATCACTTTGTCATGGACTATACACCCATTGCCTGTTTAAAGGGGAGTGAATAAGTATTTCTGTATATCTGCATGCTTCTAGTTTACACAAAATGGAAATTACGGAAAAGTAGCTTATTCTGTATCCAGAAATTAATATTAATAATTGCAAAGGGCTTAGAAGGAAAATTGTGTTTTTTAATTGCTGACCAAAATAAATATTGCACAATCCTGTTTAGCTAGACAAATGATAGTGTTCTAAAGTATTGGGTTTTTTTCTCTTTTTTTTAATTTTTATAATGGTCTGATCAAACGAAATAAAACTGATGCTGTAGATTTGTATTCTCAAATGTAGTTTCACAGCTGTAACATGTTTTGTAGCCTTGCAGGTGACAATATTTTCATGAGAGATGACTCAATCTAAGAGATGCTTTATTCTGTTATTCTTAATATTCCGCCACGGAAGACTTTCTCACTGTCCTAAATTGATTAATTTGTTTTCCTTTCTTTATGTGTGATATAGAAGCTTTTCGGGCACCAATGTTTCGAAATGGGCCTGACAAAAATGGTTTCTCTCTTGGCTGTCAAAAAAACCTAAAAGAGGTTTTTGGAGATGAAAAGAAATACTGGTTGCTCCCTATTTTTACAAGGTACTGTCATTTATATATTTTAGTTATAAATTCTAAATTTTGGGTATAGAGTTCAGAAGTATATAAATCTTTAAATGATATTCATCTAATATGACTATATACTATATTCTGGTCTGTGACTATAATTAAAAATTGATATAGCATTCTAAATTAACACACTAATATTGAACCAAAATGGTACTTTGATTACTCTTAGCCATACAGGTAATCCTTGAATTATGACCACTTGTTCAGTTACCATTCAAAATTATGACAGCACTGAATGAAGGGGATTTACTGCAACCATGCAGCCGGAGTAGCATCCCTGTGGTCATATGATCACAATCCAGATATTCAATACCTGGCTTCTGATTACAATGTGTCAGGTGATCTCAATTTCCTACATTTACTGTCAGCTTCTCACAAAAATAGTCACTGGAGAAATAGGCAGGCAGTTGGAAGATCCTCCTGCTTCTAATATACCCTATAGCAGGGGTGTCAAACTTGCGTCATCATGATGGTGTCACGTGAATTATCAGGACTTTTTTCCCTTATGCTAAACCGGGTGTGGGTGTGGCCAGCACGTGACGCATCCATCCCGCAGGCTGTGGGTTTCACAGCCCTGCACTATAATGTTAACTCATCTACCCTCCTGCATTCAGTAGCACCTGCCTTTGGGGGGCCGACCCCCTCTGCAGCTACACAACCACATTCTGGGGTACCTTTTGCTCATCACCACACACCTCCCTGCACCTCAAAGTGCCCACCCACAGTCCACTATATATCATCTCTTTCAACCCACACAGATTGCTGTTGATAGGCAGTGTGATCATATGGCGTCACACTTTACAACTGTATCACTAAAACAACAAACATTCTTGTCCCAATTGTAGTCATAACCTGAGGACTGCCTATATTATACTTAGTGCTTAGTGAAGTCAACATCCACTTCTTAAATATTCTGAGTTGTGCATTAAACACATTTTTTTTTGCTGAATTAGTCTCATCTTTTAATCATACAATGAACCGACAATAATGTAGGCACTTTAGTTGCTGCTAATGCATGTGGACCAGTGAATTCAAAAGGTGTTTATTAAATATACTGCCTTTTTGTAATTGCCATTACAAATAATCCTATAATACTTGATGAAGTCAGCAGTCCAATTAGCCAGTTACAATTTTTTTTAATTGACAATGCGCCATCAAGTAATTTTCAACTCCTAATGTCCATATTGCCTCCATGAATGATTTATTTAGCAATATCAAAAGCCCTTTATTAAAAATTGTAAATGGTTCAGAATTGTTTGGTCCAAAAAGTTAAGCAAGAGTACAGCTTACTCTGGAATTACATAGACTGCACCAGGAATATACTGATAAAGATTGCAAGGACATACTGTTCAGACATTCCTGATCTGAAAAGGATCTTATGAATGCTTCATTTTTTTAGATGACATCTTTTGACATTTGCAGACAAATTATTAATGTCAAATAACTGTTAATGTTCTCTGAATAGCAATAGCAATAGCAGTTAGACTTATATACCGCTTCATAGAGCTTTCAGCCCTCTCTAAGCGGTTTACAGAGTCAGCATATTGCCCCCAACAACAATCCGGGTCCTCATTTTACCCACCTCGGAAGGATGGAAGGCTGAGTCAACCTTGAGCCTGGTGGGATTTGAACAGCCGAACTGCTGAACTGCAGTCAGCTGAAGTAGCCTGCAGTGCTGCATTTAACCACTGCGCCACCTCGGCTACTTGAAGCTACAATAAGTTCTTTCTTGCCACAGGTACGATACTTGGTGCTGAATATGTTATGTTCATGACCTATGTACCCCTTTTCCATGTAATGTGATGTTGAAAAGCATAAATTGTATAGATGTTTCTGTTGTGTGTATTCAGCAAACTAATGAAATACTTGTTCAGCCTTGTTTATTGTACTGTGCAGCTTAGGAGATGGTTGCAGCTTTCCAACACGTCTGGTGATTATGGATCCCGAGCAGCTCGCTGTCTCAAGCCAACATGAAACCGTTAAAAGGTGCATACAATGCTTTCTACATAGGTACACAGAAGTCTGCTACTGCACGTTCTCACACACAGGGGGCCACTTTTATCTCATCAGCAGATAATCAGAGACAAGAATTCATTTCCCAGATAGTTTTAAGCCTAGTTGCAATGAGCATGGATGAGAGAATGAATGGATAATGTAACACATATGAAGAAGAAGCCTGGCATGGAACTTTCAATTTGCTTGCCCATCAGCATCCCTGTGTCTGAAACGTATATTGGACTGATTGTGAAGTTTCTTATTCTAGAGCAGAGAGAAAAATTCTGATGTGGGAATCCCACTCTCTTCAGACACAGAGCTAATAAAGATTTTGGTGGGGGTTTCTGTGGAGGGAAACCACTCTTCCAGGTTTTTTTAATAACAAACCAGTAAGATTGGTCATAGAAACAAAACTAGAGTTGATAAGAATACTGGATAGGCCATGGGCGTGGCCATGGTGGGCGTGGCCTACTTGGTCTCCTGCACCACCGGAGGGGGTATTTTCACCCTCCCTATGCTCCGGAGGCTTTCCTCAAGCCTCCAGGAGAGTATAAACAGCTTCCCCCAAGCTCCAGAAGCCCTCCAGAGGCTGGAAATGGGCTCATTTCCGGCCTTGAGGGAGACCTGTTTTTTGCCCTCCCCAGACTCCAGAGGCTTTCCTCAAGCCTCCAGGAAGGCAAAAACTTCCTCCCCCAGGCTCCGGAGGCTGGAAACAGGCCTATTTCCAGACTTCTGGAACTTCCAGGAGACCCGTTTTTTGCCCTCCCAGAGCCTCTGCATAGGCCCAGAACTTGCCTGGAATCCAAAATGGGCCGCATTGAGACTCCTAGGAGGGGTGGGGTGGGCGGGGCCAGCCAGTCCTTTCAACTACCGGTTCAGCGAACCAGATGTAAAATTAGCATCCGGTTTGCCTAAACAGGTCTGAACCGTCTGACTCCCACCCCTGGTTTAATGGCTTTGGGAGGCAGAGGAAAGTTCCACCAAGAGGAAAGGTCAGATAAGAGGTAGCTAAGTCCACAAAAGGAATGTGGGTGTGGTAAATGTCTTAGAAGGGACACTCCCTTGTTTCTTGGGTTGTAAATGCAAATGAAAGTTGTACTTTCAAACTTGCAAAGTCCTATTATGGTAAGCGAGAATAGAAAATAGAATTAATCTAGCCAGTCACATTTCTGGGTTACACACTAGGCTAGCACTATCTGGGATACATCAATTTGGTTCTTTGGTTTGCATTCCTTTTTTTTTTTTTTTAAGCTTTATTTTTATTTTTATTATAATTGTACATTAATTTCTTGATGATTCTGGCAGATCAAATAAATAGGGGATGTGTATTGGAAACTCTTATTCAGTTAAATTGTTTTAACTGAAAATGTGCAGAAAAACTTTTGGACTACTTTTCCGTGACTTTGTATTTCTGTTCTGTGAGGTTTGCTGAGCCCTAGATTGGATTCTTGCCATCTGTTTTTGATGTACAAATGGAGAAATTAGAAACAAAAGGTTTCTAGCTGTGTCTTTCAAAGTTTGAAAGTAGCAAATAAGTCATTGAGTCTAATTAATACCCAAATTAAAATATCCCTGATAGGCAGCCTCTGGACAACTTTAGCTATTTGTTGGAGGAACAGTTTCCAAGATTACTTTAAATATTCTGCTTAGAAAAATAAAGCAACAGTGTTCAAGGTGTCTGAGTATTATATTTATGATTTTTTTTTAAAAAAAATCTAATCTTGTTTGGGACTTTCTTATAAATTTAGAGTTGTTTTTCTTTAGGCTAAACATGAATATTACACAGTAGTTAGGGCTACAAATCTAAGATTTGAAAATCTGAACGACCATTAGATTAGATTTAGAAAAATCTAAAATCATTCAAGGCTTGCAGCTTACATCTGTTGGACTATAGGAGTACATAATTAGAAGCAACAGAGGTGTAGTTCTAAACATATTTTATGAAGAATTGCAAGAGTGAATCTTTGTGAGAAACTGTTCTCTCTAACAGAAATTTTATTTTTCAGCTCTTCTACTAGTCAGCCATTTCCTACTAGGCCACTCAGCGAATCTCAAAATCGACTGCTCGCCAGTGATAACCAGTGGGTAGAGGTCAGTTCAGAAGATGAAACTGTTAAATCAGGTATCTATAATTATTACATAATTATTATTAATTATTAGCTTGTTACAGGGCAGAATTTTACAATTCATTTTTCCCCCTAAATCTATTTTTATTTTATTCAATAAAAGTTAGCATACCAAACACCCCAAAAAATTAAAAAGAAAAAAAAGAGAACAAACAAGACTTTAAAAAGAAAAAAGTGCATTAAAAAAGACTAACACATTTACACATATTGTCCTCCTTAGTTGAATGTTCATTAATACAACATTATTTGTTTTCCACCCCTTGTGAAATAGGCCCAAAGAATTTAATATTCATTTTATTTACAAGTTGTTAACCTATCATCTGTAGGCAGTATTAATTAAAAAAATACTTAATAGGAATAACAGTAATAATAAAAGACAAGATTAAAATTCCAAAAACCATTTCTTAACAAACTGATATGGTAATAAACTCGTAGAAAATTTATGGCTTCATAACTATCCCAAATTATTCCAAATATTAACCCTGATTGGTCCTGGATCAAATATCCATGTTTGTTTCCTAATACCATCTCCTATCAATTGTTGACTGATTAAATATAATACATCCAATCTCCAAGGTCAGTTTGTCCTCCCAAAAAAGTTCAGATGAAATTGTTCCCTAGTGATATAGGGCAGAATATATTCTGTGATATATTCCCCAACTTCCTTCATTCCACTTTAAAAAGACCACTTTACAACTATCCATCCAGACCAGAGGTGGCATTCAGCTGCTTCTCTCCAGTTCAGGTGAACCGGTAGCGGCTGCTGTGGGAGGCTCCACCCACCTGCCCTGACATAATGCTTGAGCATTGTGCATGCGCAGAAGGCAGTGTGAATATGCAGACGGGGCACATGCGCTCACATTTGCGAACTGGTAGGGAAGGTAAGTGAATCCCACCGCTGACCCAGACCATTTTCTACTGTTATATAAAAGTGCAGGCTTGAACTTCAGGGAGGCATATGGAGTCAACTCTGTTGTTTCTAAGTCTGAGTTCATACTTCTTCCCAGCAAATCTACTGCTTTGAAATCACATTCCTTTTGTGGGTTTAATTTATTTACAGTCACTTGCCTCTGAATGTTTTCCACAGTTGTTATGAGTTCATCAAACTTTTTAAAAAAGTTTTCAGCTAAGAACTGCATGCTGCCAAGCAGTCTTTTCTCAAGTATCACCCTCCTTCCCTTGTATGTGGTCCGATACAGTATTGTTCAATGTGGTAGATAAGAGTTCTTTGGAGAAGAACAGGAAAAAGACAAAAGAACAATATTTTCTGGATATTTTGATCCAAAATTAAAAAGGATTAAGAAAAATAAACTCCAAACTTTTTGCAAATTGATAAAATTAAAAATCCCTGTGGTGAATCTTTCTTCTATATATATAAAAATGGCTCTGTGTGTGTGTGTGTGTGTGTATGTTCCAACATAACTCTGGAATGCCTCAAGCAATTTCAACCAAATTGGGTACACAGATGGTTTACTCTCTGTAAAAAAATACCGTAGGGGTAAGACACTCCTAACACACCTCAGTTTGTGTGTTCTATTAAGATACAGCCTGTTGTGCCTTAAAATGGCTTCTACTGTACTTCTGTAAAATGGATTCTACTGTACAACGCAGTGGAGTTGCCATGCTTCACAGTACTCCATAAGGGGCCTCCCTCTGGTAAAGGGGAAAATCCAACATTAGAAATTACGTTTGGTCTGGACATTTTCCCCCTATAAATAAATACCCAGGCAATGCCAAGTTATCAGCTAGTGTCCAATAAAAATGTAAAACCACTTTCACTATCCAAAGTAAGGCCATGTTTCCATGTGGAAAAGCTGAAGTTAATAAAAACAGCCAAATAGATCAAAGGAAAAAAGAACAGATAAAATCCAGCAAGGCCTTGAAATAAATCAGCATTCGGCTAATCAATTACCTTTTAAAGATGGGGAAAAAAAACAAAGCAAAATGAAGTTAAAACCCACGCTTGCTTTCCAAAATGGTTTGTTGATAGGAAAAGTTCAATAAAATACTAATGACTTTCTGGCTGCCCAAACAGGAAACTGCAGTTTTCAAGATCCTGACTTCCAGGTGTGGGTCCACAGCCATCCAAAAGTCATCTTGGGTCATTCCTAAGTGCCTCCATTTAAATCTGGGGACCAACACTGCCAAAGAACCAACTTTGGCAACAAAAAACAGCAGATCATCGGCAAGTGAGAAAACTCTTCCTATCGGGCAGCAGCCATCTTGGGGAAGGATTTCACAATTCCTATGGAAAATAAATATCTGGAGAGGATTTATCAAATTTATATGGCCGCCCATTTCATAAAAAGATTCTCAGCAAAATGCTACAATTAAAACAATAAATACATTAAAATAATCATTATTTAAAATATAAACAGTCACTATTAAAATAATTAAAACACCTGGCATAGGAGACAGTGAATATCAGCAAACAAAAGACAACGAGTTCGCGTGAAGTACTAGTACCACTTTATAAAACTCTAGTAAGACCACACCTGGAATACTGCAACCAATTTTGGTCATCATACTATACAAAGGATGTAGAGACTTTGGAAAAAGTTCAGAGAAGAGCAACTAAGATGATCAAAGGGCTGGAGACTAAAACATGAAGAAGTCTAAAGAAAGGAAGAATTAGGAGCGACATGATAGCAGTATTTTAGCCTTTGAGAGGCTGCCACAAAGAAGAGGGGGTGAAATTATTCTCCAAAGCACCAGAAGGCAGGACAAGAAACAATAGCTGGAAACTAATCAAAGAGAAAAGCAACTTGGAATTAAGGAGAAACTTCCTAACAGTGAGGACAATTAACCAGTGGAACACCTTGCCTCCAGAAATCATGGGTGCTCCATCACTGGATGTTTTTAACAAGAGTCTAGACAGTCACTTATCTAAAATGTTATAGGTTCTCCTGATTGAGCAGGAGGCTGGACTAGAAGACCTCCAAGGTCCCTTCCAACTCGTTCTATTCTAAACTAAGAAATAATTGTGCCCTCCTTTGTTTCTGATGTGTAAAACGTCTAAACCAGGTTCTTCTTCTTTTTCAGGTGTAAAAAAACATATTATAGTTTCATTGGAGAGCTGATCTTATCTCAGTATCCATTTCTTTCAGAGAAGGAAAAATGGTAAGAAAATGTATATTCAGAAAAATCAATATGACTTTGCTTTCAAAATCTTTTTATGTAAACAGGAAAGAAAACATGGGCCACACTATAGGCTGATCTTGAGTAGCACTTAATAATAAAATATTTTCTGTCTTACTTTGCATATTTTTTTATATTAGTTTATTTTCACCACTTCATTCCACAAGGTTACCATATTAAGCATTCATTTAATTTGAGCTGCTTCCAAATTTAGCAGTTTTTAATTCTGTTCTGCAAAAGAAATGAATGTAAGTGTATGAAATAAGGGCAAATGCTGCTTTAAATCCAAATTTTGTCTGAAATACAGAAAAGGGATTTCCAGTATTGATACTAAACATCATTTTGGATTTTTTCCAAAAACAGTAGATAGATTTCATGAAGTTGCAGGCTAAATCCAAAACAACCAGATAAAAGAACTCCAGAGAAGATGGAAGGTTTGCAAAGCATTGACAGAGTAGAAATCTCTTCTGTATAAAAATAATAATTTCTGAGGTGGTATTCAGCCAGTTCTGACAGGTTCTAGAGAACCGGTAGCAGAAATTTTGAGTAGTTCGGAGAACAGGCAAATACGCTGGCTCCGGCCCCACTGCCTCCCAGTCTCCCAGCTGACCATTTTTTTTGTTGCCCTGAACAGAAGGATGGAGCTGGAAAGCAGGTTACTGGGGTGGGGAGGGAAGGGGGATTTTGCAAGAGCCTTCGTCTGCCATGACCACAATGCCACACCACGACCACGAAGCCACACTCACCGAACTGGTAGTAAAAAAAAATGAATCCCACCACTGAATAATTTGTAAATTAACAGTTAGTTTACCAAGAGAAAGCTGCCTTAGCAAAGCATAAATCAGGTTTCATATGTGTTTTAGTATCTTTTCTGGAAAGCTTTTCTTACATACAGCAATTCATAGCAGAGAAATCTATTTTCGGTGCAGAATTAGTGTCTTTTACTTGCCTTTACTTATCTTTATTCAATGCAATACTTATTACAGTTTGTTTTCCAAATAGATTTCTACAATACATTTGTGCTTGGATATTATTTTTTTAAGGAAGACACCAATAAATCAATGGAACAGTTCCAGCATGTTAACAAGACACGGAAAATGACATTGTTGATGGTATCCAGTGGATGCTTATAAGCACTTCCGGTGCAGAAAGTCTGATGCCTTAAGATTCGTGACGTGCATTTTTGCAACATGGACATAAGCTATTACAAGGGCCAAATTCTCAAACGCCCTGCGAGAGTCTGCAAGACTCCAAAGTGCAGAAACTATGCATTCCAACTGCACTGTGGCAGTGACTTGATTCTGCAAACTTCATGTGTGAAGCAATGCCATGCTGGTATCATTACTTTCGTAACAGTTCTGTGGAAGAAAAGTGCGGTAGGAAAGGGTAATCATATAGTTTACTATAGCATTTCACCATTAACATTCCAAAATACAGTTATATGTGGCTCAATCATCATCTGGTGGACTACTGATATTTGGTACTTCCTTCTCCCCCCCCCCTCCTATAACCATCATGAGTTAACCAGTAGTAATGGTACAGGTGTTGTAAAGCAGCCAGTCGAAAACTATGACTTTCTAACTTTCTCTGATAATCAAAGTCCTTTTCTTTCAGACTTGATTTGTTGCAATACAGTGTTGTTACAACACTGTACAGTATTAGAGAAGCAAGGTTTCTTACTCAGCTCATTAGCCATTTGAAGCGCTAATTGAGAAAATTATTTTACTGAGCAATTTTGGACATTATTTTTAATCTCTAGGAAACATGGGTAAGTGATGTTCACCCTTCCCATTTTAGAATGTTTAATAATTGCGGGTTTTATTTGTTAGCATTTTTGCCTGATATCCCCAATAAATATATTCTTTCTGAAGTCTGCAGGTTATTCAGCCATGAACAGAAATCATTCCTTTCTTTTTCTTCCTGTTCTTGCTTTTTTAAAATAGAAAATAATCTGGCATGAAAGTGTTATTGAGGGATTGGATTTCATAACCCTCTGTACTAGGAACATTGAGTGAACTAGGGAAGGAACTGGAGAAAGGGGACCTTGTTCACAGCCGTCTGCTTTCATTGTTCAAGATTCCCCGTCTTTTCTATCTCTCTTTGATCTTGGATCTAATCCTATCCCTTATCAATAAATACTGGTGTATACTTTCAGTACAACGGTAAATGATTACATTAATCTGTTAGAGCAGGGGTGTCAAACTCAGGTTATCACAGTGGCATCACGTGACATATCAGGACTTTTTCCCCCTCGCGAAACCAGGTGTGGGTGTGGCCAGCACATGATGCATCCAGCCCACGGACCGGGAGTTTGACAGCCCTGTGTTAGAGGGTAGGAAGACACTGGATGCTGGACTCTGACAAGAACTGTATGCATGCATTTCCTTTCCCACAATTCACCAATGTTCTCATTATTATGACTCTTAACAACGTTGGCAGATTTAGAAATATATTTTTAAATCTATTGCAATTGGTTGTATCTCAACAGTTCTACATTCCTTATTTCAATCCATAAAACAAAACTTGTACAAGTGATATTTTTTTAAAAAAAACTGATATTGAGTATTATAAACAACAGGGGGTAGAATAAATGCAAATTATACGTATCAATGTGGCTTTTCCAAATTAATTTTTAAAATGAGAAGAAATAAAAGACATAGTGCAGTTCTTGTGAGCCAATGCTGCATCCTATCTTTACAGTGCAAATTAAGCCCAAGGTCTCATTACCCTCTTGGTCAGATAATGTGGTTCAGTGCTATGAATTAGTGCTCTCTAGATAAGATAAAAGGAAGTCAGACTGCTAGAACACAGGACAAATTCCGCAAATCCACAACTAGAAGTTACAGCAAATATACTATCCCTTAAATTATTTGGTACATAGGAAAGATCAGTTACTGCAAGCTAATTGTAATGATATCTGAGAAGGGTCTTGGAAGACAGGGAAGAGCCATAGCCAGGGGAAGAATTGGGTAACAGCAACTTAGGCCCTGGAAGCCATCTGGAGGTGGATGTCTCAGAAGGGACCTTCTATGGTTTCTTGGACCTTAAAGAATGACAAGGGAGAAATGTTTTGCAAGACTGATGTCATCCTTGTGAGGTTTATATTTAGCTCATCTTGGATTTGTTTCCTTTCTGGACCATCTTGTAAGGCTGTCTTGCAGCTCTGAAATTATGTCTCTGCTGTTGCCTTTTTGGTCCAGGAAACTAGGAAAGTTCCTTCAGAGATGTTTGCCATACCCACATACTTTCCTTAGGCTAAGTTGCCTGTTGTCCAACCATTTCCCTGGCTCTGGCTCTTCCCAACTCCCAAAGTCATTCCCATGTGCCATTACACCAAAAACTTGACTATAGCAAAAATTGTCTTAAGACAAAAATTCAAATGCATCAGTAAAAATAAATGGATAACAGGGTTCTCCGAGTTAAGTATATATAGAATAACTCTTTGCACTTATTTGTTTGGCATCTACACAGTATCTCTAGTAATAATTAGGGTAAATTTAAAACTATGCTGGCAATATTTAGTATTTTAAATTATTTTGCAATCATAAAGCCATTGAAAAAATTCCAACAGTGACTAGTGAAACCATCTATATTAGGGGTGTCAAACTCATGTCATCACCGCAGCATAATGTGACTTATTGGGACTTTTTTCCCTGATACGACCTTGATTAAACCGGGCATGGCTGTGGCCAGCACATGATGCATTCAGCCTGCGGGCCAGGAGTTTGACAGCCCTGATCTATGTGTTGGGTCAGAAAGAAAAGTGTTTATAGTACTGAACTGTAACTAACAGATAGGAAATCTTATTAATTTCAAGAAATTATACCAAAGAGTATGATATATCATGCTGATTGTATTGGAAAATGTGTAGATTTTATTTAAGTGCTTTATCAAAGCATTTTGCTAATGAACGTGTAATGGTATAATTAGAAACATTTTATGTACATTCATTTTGGGGAATTATAGCTTGCATATTGTAAGCATAGATTCTTGGTTGCCTTAGGAAGTCCCTTCCCAGGTATTATTTATGTTTAGTTCTACAAACTTAAGACTTGATTTACTGGCTGCTATTATAAATTAGATTTTATGCTGCAGTTTTAAATAAGGCAAGTATTTTCTAGTAATTATGATTTCTTATTCCGAGGAATTGTAATTAATAGAAAAGGCTTAAAACAGCACTTGATTAAACAGATCTCTGGCATCCTGGGTTGGAGAAATGTCTAGCAATTGTTATTTTTGTAATTTTCTATTAATGTAGTGACAAGGTCCAAGCAATTAAATGACACTATTTACAATACTGTGTACAATTTCATTTAGAACATAGCTACCAAAAATGTATCTTATACACCTGTATTATAAAAGCAGGTTTTCAGTTAGTCTTAAAAATCCAGTGTATTTTCCAGATTATACTTGAAAATTTTAATAGAATGAGACTCCATGTTTACAAAATAAATTACTAAAGATCTTTTGGAAGCGTGAACAGCAATTAAATGGCTCATAGTTTGATCATATTTTGAGATAACGTTTTTGTTTCCTGGTACCAAAGAACTGATAAACTATCAAACAGCTTATATTCTATTGCAATCCTAGTATCTCCCGGGATTCTTAAAATTACACTAGGAAAGCTTCAGAAAGCATTTTATGGATTGTGGTCTTTTACCTTAATCCTAAATATATTTACCTGGAAGCTCTACTTATTTTGTGAACATGACAACTATATGGCTCAAGACTACACATTATAGGGTATTACGGAAGTACTTTTCACTATGTCTTGTTTTTCCCTAGTATAAATTAATAGAATGGCATAGTTTGGCCAAAATTGCCACAACCTGTGTTATATACCAGTGGGTACATCAGACACATTGCACTGTTGTTATGACAAAGATGTATGCAGATATTTTACTTAAATATAGATCTCTCTGTTATAGTAGTAGGCTTGCAAGTATTCAAATCTAAAATGGTATGAGGATACTTAAGAGGATACATGTGAATGATGCATCTGTTCTTTATGTTGCAGATAGTATTCCTATGCACAGAAAAAGCATATTGCCACTAATAATTTAATAAAGAGTTTTTAAATGGGCTTTTATAAATGAACTATGTAAGAGAGATCACTTTGCCTGAAATTTTCCTATTTTTAACTGCACCTTGTAATATCTTCATGTATATTTTCCACCAGTGTAATTAATTTTCAATCATGTTTGACTTTTGTATATCAAAGTACAGATCGTGTCTTAATTATAACTGTTTTCAAAAAGCATAATCTTTAAGCCCTTCTTTGCCAAATTGATGATACATTAATGTGTTATGACATAATGAATGCATAAGAAAATAAATAACTTGGGAACAGGCTTTCTGCTATATTTCGATTTCAGTTATTTATTTTGCATTGTCATAAATGAGTAGGGACATAAAAAAGAGGAAAGGCATTAAAATGCATTTAGCCTCTATTGAAATACAAAATGCCTCAGGCATTTTTATGTACTGCCTGGGGAGTTTTAAAAGCAAATCTCTTCCACTTCTTAATTCAGTTAAGACAACACTCATTAACTGATGATTAAAATCTTAAATTATTTGGTGTCTTTTCTGTTACTAACATTTCAAGGGCAGCTTTAACATACCCTAAATTAGTGTCTTCCAAATAAAAGGTTTACTGAGCCTATACCACTGGCGACTATCTAGCCTTGCTTTAGCCATTCATTAATAACTCTTTCAATCAGGTGACTCCTAAATCAAAATGCATTTCCAATCTGGAAGTTTGATTTTATACCAGTGGTTCCTAACCTTTTCTTTACCCCACGTCCTCTTTAAATGTTTTGTGGCCACAAACCCTGAAGATTTAAATCATAACATATATTTTTTATCGTTTTTCTCTTTTTTTTTCCAGTTTGGCTCTTCTTTTTATTTTTATTTTTTCTTCCTATATATGTTTTTATTTTTTCATTTTCATACCCTCACATGTATACACCATACAGTATTAAACAATAATTGTAACAATTCCTCTTGTCAACAATGCCCCAGAAAATAAAAGCCCAAAATACCTCTTCCATTCTCCATACCTCTTTCTTCCACCACCCTCCAACTTTCTATCTTCCCTCCATCATCCCCCTCTACCCTACTTCCCCTCCCCCTCTACCACTTCTCTCTCCAAATCCGCTCCCCCCCTTCCTTCTCGCCTTCCTGCCCACCCTCTCTCCCATCCCTCTCTACCCATCTTTCTTCTTTCCTACTCATAACATTTCTTGAAGCCTTCACGGACCCCCTGTGATAACACTGCAAATCACAGGTTGAGAACCACTGCCATATACTGCAAAATTGATAAAATGAGAATGTTCTTTGTGGTTTCTGCCTCTGAATGCATAGGTAGATACGTGGTTTAGGTGATTTTATTTTCCAGGGGATAGTGGAATGGAAATACAAGGAGGCAAAGCCAGCATTTAGAAATTAAAAAGGGGACAAAGACCTCAAATCATTTTTATAATAATAGCATTAAACTCTGAAAGGGAAAAAACATACATAACTTAATAGAAAACCTTATGTATTTATGAAGCCAATAGCTGGTTGAAAACAAGAATATATTTATTTTATGACTTTCATTGCCACTAAAAGCAAGTCCACTGAATCCATAAAACCCATTAGAAAGGCAAAGGACACAGATCAGGAACCTGCCCATCTCTTGGTCACATTAAGGTGTTTCAGATTTTCTGCAACATACTTGTGTTCAAGAAACTTTGCTCTCTCTTCAGCTATTCTTTGCTGCTTTAACATAAGTACATTTTCTTCATCGTGGCGATACTCCTGCTCTTTTGTCATATATGGACAACTTAGCCAATATATATTTTCAGCTTCAATTTCAAGTCTCTTAATCATATTTGCCTTCATTAAATGAGTAACGAATCTTGGACGTCTGTTTTTACCAATCCATTGTTTTCCAGGAATTCTCTTTCCAAACAGTACTCGAGTCAGAAACATGCCTCTAAAAAGAAATAAGAAATGTTAACTATTTGAAATATTAAGTGTATAAACATTCTAGGTCAATGTATTAATTACGTTAGCAAAGAACAGAATTAATTTTTATGTTTCATTTAAATAATTTGTGCCCTCAATTTGGAGATGTTCCAGGTCATTTATAGAAATTAAGAATATCATAATACAAATCCTTAGTAATGTATTAGAATAATATAGGCATTTGTGGCTCGGCAGCTAATCTCCAAAGGTCTTTTGGAAAATCAAGGTTTTTGCCAGACTCTGGAACAACATAAAAACAAATGAAATATTTTCATTTTTTTCAAGAGAGTAAAAAGGCAAGGGGGAAAAGCTCACTTTTTCAAGATTTTTTTAATGAACCATTATATCTCTAGCAATACCCAAACTAAAGGGCTCCTTGAAAGAAAAATTAGATCAAGTGCTTTCATGAAATAAACAGGAATGGCACCTTAAAGAAATTAGCATACTGATGCCAATTGGTATACTGCTATGAAAAAAACAGGTATTTTAATTATTTGGAATAATATTTTGCAATTTGCATTGCAATAAAAGTTACCACTGGAATTAACAGTATACAGCATGGGTGTCAAACTCACAGCGGTGTGACATGATACATTGGGACTTTTTTCCTTCGCTAAACCGGGCATGAGCCTGGCCTGCGCATGACACATCTGGCGAGTGGGCCACGGGTTTGACAGCCCTGCTATACAGATTAGGTGAAACCTGGCTCAATACCAGTAACTGTGAGAGGGATCTTGGGAGTCCAAGCTAAAAAAGCGAATACAATCTTAGGCTGCATTAACAGAGGGATAGAATCAATGATCATGTGAAATATTAGTATTGGCTAATAAAAACTTCGTAAGATCACACCTAGAATACTGCATCCAGTTTTGGTCACATTATTAAAAAGTTGAGACTTTGGAAAGAGTCCAGAGAAGAGCAACAAAGATGATTAGGGGCCTGGAGGCGAAACATACAAAGAACTGGGGTATAGCCAGTCTAGAGAAAAGAAGGACTAGGGGAGACATGATCGCAGTGTTCCAATATTTGGGGGGCTGCCACAAAGGAGAGGGTCAATCTATTTTGCAAAGCACCTGAAGGCAGAACAAAAAGCAATGATGAAGCAAGAAGAAAATCATCCTAGAAATAGGGAGAAATTTCCTGACAGTGGGAAGAATTAACCAGTGCTTGCCTTCAGAAGTTTTGGGTGCTCCATCACTGGAGGTTTTTAAGAAAAGACTGGCAGCCACTTGATATATAGGGCATGGGGTTTTCTGCTAGAGCAGGGGTTGGACTAGAAGACCTTCAAGGTCCCTTCCAACTCTGTTATTCTGTTACAGAATCTGCAGTGGGGAAACTCACATAAAACCAGGATATAAATATAATTCATGTTGTACTCAATTTTTTTCCATTTTCAATTTTTTTATTTATTTTTCCAAATTTTAAATACAAACACTCCCTCTTTCCTTAAGCAGTGTGTGGTCTGAGTACCAATATTTCTGTGCAACATCCTTCCACGAATTATTAATACATTGAACAATTCTTCCTTTCCCAAATCAGCATATTTTCCAACAAAAATACCATAGTCACATTAAACATATTCTCCTCATGCTAACAATTATCATTTTATTCTAATTTTTATCTTGATATATTTTCTGTTCTTCTTTTAAACCCCCCCCCCCACTCCTTTTATTTCCAATTTCCTTTTTTATTCTCTAACCCAGGGGTCTCCAAACCTGGCCACTTTAAGTCTGGAGGACTTCAACTCCCAGAATTCTCCAGCCAGCAAATGGCTGGGGAATTCTGGGAGTTGAAGTCCTCCAGGCTTAACGTGGCCAAGATTGGAGACCCCCGTTTCTCCTTTTCCCCCGACCTTGGCAAATTCCAGCGCGGGAATTCTGGGAGTTGAAGTCCACCTATCTTTAAGTAGCCAAGGTTGAGAAGAACTGCTCTAGTCACCTCCCCAATTGCACTGCGCTGGTGTTGAAGCAGCTTCTGCTGAAAACAGCCGCTCCTCTCGCAGCGCAACGGCCGGCTGCGGCCTCCACCCACAATGATTCTTATGACCTACAAGCGTCGCCTTCGTTTATGAGGCAACGGGCCTCCGCACGTTCCCTCGCCTCCTCATGGCCCCTAATCCGGCCTTTCCCAACTCACCGGGCCTCGTCGTTAAATCCTCGCTACGAGCGATCCGGATCGAGCCAAACCGAACGCCGCTGCGCTCAACGCACCTCAAGTCTCGTCTCTCGCGAGAGTGCTGAATCAAAGGCCGAATCAAAAGCCGGGGGGGGGGGAGGCAAATGCGAATTGGCTAAATGACGCTTGCGTACGTCACGCTGTGGCATTAAGGAGGCGGGGCAGATCCGGAGTGGGCCAATCGGCGCCCGCCGTCCCGGGGAATTCAAAAGGCCGCGAAAGGAAAGAAGTTGGCCGCGGCCGTCCTGAGGCGAAAGAGCGGCGCCCGTTGTGGCTGCGGTCTTGGCGAGCTGCGGAGTCGTGTTCCTCCCGCATTTCGGCGGCTCCTGCGAACGGCCGGAGGTATTCAGGAAAGGCTTAGAGTGCCTCTGTCTTGAGGGAGGAGGCGAGGCTGTTCGGGCTCCCGAAAACTGATTTTAACAGATTAAGAGAGTTGGAAGGGACCTTATAGGTCATCTAGTCCAACCCCCTACTCAAGCAGGAGACCCTACACCATTTCTGACAAATGGCAGTCCAATCTCTTCTTGAAAGTCTCCAGTGATGAAGCTCCCACAACTTCCGAAGGCAACTTCTGTTCCATCGGTTGATTGTTCAACCGACTGTCCGAAAGTTCCTCCTTATTTCTAGGTTGAATCTGTCCTTGTTCAGTTTCCATCCATTATTCCTTGTCTGTCCTTCAGGTCCCTTGGAAAATTGGCCATCCCTCAAATATCCTAACTTGATGCAAGATAAGACTTTGTAATAACCTTCATCCTGAATTGCACCCAGAGCCAACTGGCCACACTAAATCTTTCTGCCTGCACTGATCTATTCTAGACCAGGTAAAGTTTTTTGACAGGTTTTTCAAGGGCAGCCCTATGGAGAGCACATCACAGCAGTCAAACCTAATACTGATGCTTTGTGGGAGAGCCCTTTAATCTTTTCTGAATACATGGTGATTTGTTTAGGGCTTGGGAGGAAAGCAGCATCTCCACAATAGAAATGCAACATAGAGGGAGAACATCTGGAGTTAACAAATATATGTGCTACTGTATCAACTGTGCCCTTTTAGATAAATCTGCATGTATGGAAAGGCTGTTTCAACTATTTCTAAGCTACAGTATTTTTTCAAAATCTTTTACATGTGTTTAACATGTTGAAAAGTTTAAAACTTTCATATTCTTTCTGAAATTCCTCTTAGAAACAACCTGTTAGCTTTCCTTCAGTATGGATGTAACAGGAACATTCTTCAACAAACTGCGAACTTTGGCAGTCACTTTGGAGAAGCAGGCTGAGCAATTTAAGCAAATTTTACTGGAAGATGAAGGTGAGAATGTAGTAAATAATTGCTTTGCTTCAGAAAGCTTAGGCTAAGACAAAACCAAACAACTTGCATTTTGTGTTAAACAACACAGTATGTAAATTTGGACACAGTGTCATTCTGCATTTGAGATATTAACTAGAACATTATTGTGTTTCTCATTCAATTTAGTTCAATTCAGAAGATATATATGTATGTATGTATGTATGTATGTATGTATGTATGTATGTATGTCTATATAATTTACATTCGTTCTGAAGCTATACTGATGTTGCTAGGACTCCCAACCAATGCTAATTTCTGATATGGCTAGAACATTTCATCTTTTAAATAACAAACATTAATGTACAGGGCTGTATATCATTTTCTAAATATTTTGCTTGTGATTATTTATTTTCAAATGTTTTGAAGAATTTGAAGATGATTCTCCAATGAGATATCTACATGAACTGTACTCTGAAGCAAGAACACTAAAGGTAGATATGACCTGCTTCTCTTCATTCTCTTCACCTTCAAATTGCTTTTCTAGAACTTCCTCGCTTTTATATTAAATGTGTTTAAAGTGGAAAATTAATATGTGTGAAAGTTGCCTTCTGTGTATTAGGTAGTATTTCATATTCCCCAAGACAGAAACATGCCTCCTGAAACCTTCCATGGTAAATGTGTAATATTTCCAGAGAACTCACCAATCCTAAACTCTTCTATTAGGAGATGATAGCCTTATTCTTTAAAAACACAGGTAGGTTTGGATAGCATGAAGTCATAACTAGACATTTTTTAAATAAACTGTTTTTATTCAAATGAAAAACGTAAGAAATTTTGTTGCTGCTTCTGTGTAATAAACAGCTTTTATGTTAAACCTGACATGTAACACACATATATGCATTGACTATTGATGTTTATTACTTTATAATCATCAGTTCTAACTCAAATTAAAAACAAATCATAGGCTGATGCTGATAATATCCTACATACAAGTTCTTCAGAAAGAGATGCCACATACGACTTCATAAAGGCCAGTAAAGTTCTGATGAAGAGAAATGCAACCAATCTTGAAAAAATACGAGATCTCTTTCAGAAATATGGTTACAAGCCACTTATTGGCAAGAATGAAGGTAATTTTTCCCCTCAATCTAGAACATTTGGTGTTTTAATACACTCTACAATTTATTTCTGTATGCATTACTAATATTAAAAAGGATAGACGCTTCATCTTGGCAAAGCCTAAATATCACTTTTCTTCCATAGCCTTGAATATCTGATCTTGACATTGCTTCTAGGTTTAGCACTGCTTAAGTCAAAAGTTTTAAAATGTCTATAATATACTTATGTACTAAAAAACTATATGCTCAATTTATTTTAATTCTTTGCCAACTTTCCTGCAAATGCAAAGTTTACTGGCCTGAGTTCTGTAAAAAAAAAGGTCATCTTTTTGTAGCTTCTTATTATTCCCATTTCCATGGCATTCTGGTATAACACATAATTCTTTAAACTAAATCAGATTAGCAAGATTTTCCATCTCCCCATTGTGTTTATACGGTGGGGATGTGATGGAGAATTTGCAATCACAGTAATACTTCAGAATTTTTTATTCTCTTATAACTAAGTACAGGACATATCATGGAATAAAAACTATTGGTATAATGATATAAGCAGTCTGATGCCTCATAATATTAAACAAGGAACCTCTTGATTAAAAGGTTGCATTCAAAATAAGTATTTGTTAAAAGTGATTTCATAGTTCTTTGTCAGTTTTTAAAATTTTGATGATTTAAAAAATGATCCTCCTATACTCTGAATGCCAAGACATAATATGCTTTGACTTCAGAATTAGTCATTTTTTTATATATATATAAATCAGATCACTATTATTTATTCAAAAAGCCCTGGTTAAAATGCTTGATTTATTGGTGAAATCTTCTTGTAGGGTTAGCAAACCTTGGTTACAGAGCAAGCAATGATAGTGATAGAAGGGCAATATTTATACAGAAAAAAGTATCCAAATTTGTGATGCATTTCTTGACTTTTGGTATGCCTTATCGCCAGATTCAATGAGACAATTCTCTTTTTAAAGCCATAAAGGTTGAGGATGAAATCAACGCTGGATCAGCTTTATCTGATCAAATAGAACCCAAACCTCTTGATTTTCCTCAAAAATCATCTGGAGCTCAAAGTGTCCTGGAAACTCCTCAACTTTCAGATTTTGGGCTTTCAAAATATGCCTTTCCAAGTTCTTCAGATACAGTACACATTCCACATAGCCAGAACGAAGAGGTGAAAGCGGATAAATCTGAATACTTGTTACCCAAAATAGAATATTACAATATCCACGAACGTGATCTGTCTGTAAATGATGAAACCACAAATTTAATGGACGACCAAACAATCTTTTTGCTTAATAAAGCAAGAAAAAATAGGTAAGTGGTATACCTTGAAATCATTACAAAAATATAATGATTATCGTTTTCTGTCGTCTTGTATCTTTTATGACTGGAGTAATAAGAGTATTATTTCTGTATTATCTTCTTACATGTATCATTTCTGCTGCCCCATCTCTGAAGCTTCCAAGCAGCTTTTAAGTAATAACGTAATATTGAAATATAAAGAGACAGGAGCATAAACAAGAAGGCCATGATGTGCAGAAATCATGCATGTGATATGTTCAAACATATCCAAATACTTTTCTGAAGAGTCATATTTTCATGGATCTTCAAAACTAATAGGAAGGGGATGGTCTCTGAGGGAGAACATCCCTGAAAAATGCAAGCACAGGATCCCTTTAAGCAGAACTTCCTATATCTCACACAAAGGGCAAATTCAATCCAGAGAAGGCAATCTTGTATATGTACGAGCGCTAAGCCATATTGGTCTTTAAAGGTAGCAACTAGCATACTGAAATGTACTTGGAAGCTAACAGGCAGCCGGTGCAATTCTCAAAACAGTATTGCATGAGTGGACCAGAACAATTTGGGCCCTGCATATGCTCAATCCTCTTGCCACTTCCAAAATGTCTTCTATGGCAGCCTTAGGTTGATCAGTTGCAGTAAACCAGAGGTAACAACAAAGCTGTTGTGATTTGAGCAAAGCTTTCTGTACTAAAATTGACCGTTATATTGCAAAGGGCCTCTTGGCCAAAGCCTCCAGCTCCTTTCCTGCTGTTCATAGAAGAGCTGTAAGCTAGGGTGGCTTGCAAGCTAGGGAAAAATCCCTAGCTTGCAAGCCATGGCCTTTTAGGGAAGCACAGATCCACTGGAAATGAAAACTGAGCTAACTTTGTATATAGTTGGGAAAGTGTCTATGGAGATTCTCAGTCATCTAGGTCATGGTTGTCCCAAAGATGCTTTTTTTTCCAAGAGGTAACTGGACTTTCTGGTTTTTCTTTGAAGACGTTTTGCTTCTCATCCAAGAAGTTTCTTCAGCTCTGACTGGATGGTGAGGAATAGAAGGATTTATAGTCAATGCAGACAGCTGGACATTTGCATTTTTTAGCGGGGTTGTTAAGGTCGCCTGGAGGTTTATCTGTGCCATCAAGGTCACCTGAGTGGTGCAAATGGGTGTGGAACTTTCTTGGAACTGCATTATAGACAGAAGATAGATCATGTCGTATCCCTCCCCCTCTGTTGAGAGGGCTGTTCAGTTTTGACATAGATGGCCTCCTTGACCCTGCTTTCAAACCAGTGTTCCTCTCTGTCCAAAATGTGGACTTTGCTGTCTTCAAAAGAATGACCTTTGTCTTTTTAATGCAGAAGGACTATTGAATCTAGTCCTGAAGGGTTTGTATAAATCCTTCCATTCCCTACCATTTAGTCAGAGCAGAAGAAGCTTCTTGGATGAGAAACGAAGCAAAAAGAAAAACCAGTTTCCTCTTTAAAAAAAGCACCTTTCCAATTTGGAAAGGTTTGATATATATTGGTTGTACTTTCATTTAAATAATAACATTTTTTTCTTTTGCTAATAACTCGACCAGATCAGCAGGGGCGATGGTATTAAATCAGAATCTGTCAGCGCTCAGGCAATCAAATGAAGCATGTGGTAAGTCTTGTGTATGTCAAATAACTTCCAGGACATCTTGTATTCCTAAGTGAAGTCTTGGGAATTATCTTGAGGATGTCAAGATTGAGAAACAGTGCCTTAATGTATTTCATCCAACATTTGGGATTTGATGAAAAAACCCTTGTGAATCCTGCAGAGTTTCTGGACTTGCTTCTGCTAAGCCCTCAAAACTCAAGATCTCTTCCTGCAGCATGGCCACTAGTATTTAGTATGTTACTCCCCCCTCCTAGATATCTCCAAATAGATTCTGGGTGAAAGAGGGAAAAGGGAACAATCAGGAATCACAAATTTGCATAAAATGGTTGAAGATAACTGTCCCCTGCTCTCTTCTGATCCTGCTGAATAAGCCTTCCCTTTTCATGCAAGAACCGTATTTTTTGGAGTATAAGACACACCTTTTTCCCTCAAAAAAGAGGCTGAAAATCTGGGTGCATCTTATACATCAAATGCAGCATTTTTTTGCCTCCCAAAGCCCCGCCTCTTCACCAAAATGGTTGTGCATATCCTAATGAACGCTTTCAGAGAGCTCCTGGGGGCTGGGGAAGGCAGAAATGAGCAAACGATGGGCCGTTTTTGCCCCCAGCCCCCAGCAGCACTCTATAAGCTTCCATAAGGCTATGTATGTAATTTTTTTGACAAAAAACAGACCCATTTCCACAAAAAATGGACCTTTTTTTCCTCGTTTTTGTCCCCCTCCCAATAGCACTCTGCAAGACACACACACCCCGACTATTCATGCCTTTTTTAAAAAAAAACGGGCCAGTTTTCGTGAAAAACAGGCCGTTTTTGGGAGATTTACAGAGTGCAAACACTTTTTTTCCCTTTCGGAAAGCTCTTTAGTTAGAGTGATTGATGAGAATTAGATTGATCAAGTGCTGTGCCAGCAGAAACAAAGTCTTAGGTGCTGCAGATTGTCAGTTATTTCCTTCTCCAGCACATGGATAAATACACCTGGAAACATCTACCTACTTACCTNTACCTACCTTCTCTCTCTCTCTCTCTCTCTCTCTCTCTCTCCCTCCCTCCCTCCCTCCCTCTACCCACCTACCTACCTACCTACTGTATTTCTCCCTCTCTCCCTACCTATCTACTGTATTTCTCTCTTTATTTCTCTCTCTATCCCTCTACTTACCTACCTTTTTTTTAAATTTGCCTCTTCAAAACCTTGGTGCGTCTTATACTCCGAAAAATACGGTATATTTCTTTAACCAATCCTTTGATCCATTTTCTGCATAATCCAACATGTTTTCAATGAAAATCAATCAAATGTTTTCAGATAATGAGTCTTTCGCTTCACCTGTTATACCTGAGTTCCGCACACCTGGAGTGAAAATTCCCCACAGAAAGACCACTGTTTTATCAGAGTCTCAAGAAAGTAATCGTTTGGATGTTCCTAAACACACAACAGAAATACCTCCACTTGATACAAGATCTAAGCAAATACAACCTATGGTAAATATTGAGCACCATACTAGCAAATTTTAGGAATCTCTTAATAAAATGTCTGTCTCATATTGAGTCCATAGTATGTATGCCTCAAGAATAATATTTCAATGGTTGTTTGAATTAGCTGTTTGATTGTTTCTGAAAAATATAACTTTCAAAATTTCAGCACTATTTTTTTTCCTAGCATGTTGAACCTATCCTGGATTCAGAAAAATATCTGGAATGTGCTGAAGAACCTTCCCTTCCAGCAACGTCAGTATATGAGGACCTCTTCAGTTCACCATTACCACCACCTGAAATAACTGTAATTCCAAAGAACCTTATGCAGGTTTGACGTGCAAAATTAATTTGCATTAGTTAACATTTTATCAGCAAAATTGGAAGCCTCATTTTTTCAATCTCTCGTTGTTTAAACTTAGATTTTATCCCGGTACAATCCAAATATTGAAGTACCCAGGTCAGCAGCTAAAGGAACTGAAGAAAAAAATGCTTCACAATTTGAAGAAAAGCAATTTCTTTGTACTGATAACAAAGAAAACAGGTAAGATTTGAGAAAAAAGTACATTTCCCTTATATTTTGTGACTGTAAAAACTGTGTTTTTGAAACTTGAGTTTTTTGCACTTTCATGCAATTGAGACATTTTATCTTTGCCTTAAACAGTGGCCAACCAAAATCTTTGCTAGCCTGATATTTTTCTGCCACCATTTCCTTTCCCCAAATAATTTTATCCCATCTTGGTAGGGAAAAAAAGATGGGCATTGATAGTGTAAGTAGTACTCTATATCCTTATATACAATATTTAGTTTGACCTGTTTCACAAAAAATCCTAAGAAACATTGTTTCTTGTAAATAAGTTAACCCAAGTGTTTTTTGTTTGTTTTTGCATGACAGCCAAGGATAATGTATTGTATTTTTAATGAGTTATCTTAGTGAATATTTTGTCTTTTAACTACCTATAATAATCCACTTGGTATCATTTTTCTAAACAAGCCATTTTCATACTTTCCTGACATTAGTCATTATGGTCAGGAAATCAGTTTGAGGCTTATGTTCTCCCAACATTATTTGACAATCAAATAAAAATGATACAATTATTTCCTGGGGAGAGAGACCTGCTATGAAGGAATCAAAATACTCATCCTTCCTAGATGCTTTGGATATAAAGCCCTGCCACTTTAGCCAGTGGGTAGGATTATGAAAGGAGAAAGGTAGGATAGGAATACAATGGGCAGTTCAAATGAAATTTAAACCCTTGAGTCCTTTAAAGAGCTGAATATTAATCTGTGTATAAATTTGTATGCTCTAAATCAGGGGTGTCAAGATAGCAGCCCGTGGGCTGTATATGTCACATGGAGGCCACCCAGCTCCATGAAAGGGGAAAATGTGAAACATCACGTGACGGCAATGTGACATGGCAAGTTTGATACCCATGCTCTAAGTAAAGAGTAAGGGAGTCAGATATAATGGCAAATTAGGATGAGATGATTAAAATAAAAGGACTTTGATATGATTGACTTTAGTTATAAATATGCAACATGTACTGAAGAAAGCAGAAAGTGGGTAAGATGTAGGAATGAATAGCAATAGCATTTAGACTTACCATATTTTTCAGAGTATAAGACACACTTTTTCTCAACCTAAAAGAGGGTGAAAATTTGAGTGTATCTTATACTCCGAATGTAGCCCTGCCCACTGTCAGCCCCACCCTTTGGCCTCTGCCTCCCAGCAACTTGCTTCCTTGCAGCAAACAGCCAGTTTCAGATTCAGCACAGCCTGATTAGCACAAGCAGATGATTGTTGGTTTGCTGGGCCTCCTGACCATCAAATGTTTCGGGCTACAGGGATTGCCGTTGCCTATTACCGCCTATCCACGCCCCATTTTTGGCCTTTTTTTTCTTGTTTTCCTCCCCACAAGCTAGGTGCGTCTTATACTTCGGAACGTCTTATACTCTGAAAAATACAGTATATACCACTTTACAGTGCTTTTCAGCCCTCTCTTCAGTAGTTTACAAAGTCAGCATATTGCCCCCAACAATCTGGGTCCTCATTTTACTGACCTCGGAAGGATGAAAGGCTGAGTCAACCTTGAGCCAGTGAGAATGCAACAGCCTAACTGGTGGCAGCTGACAGCATAATTAGCCTGCAATATTGCATTCTAACCACTGTACCACCACAGCTCTTAAACAAATTGAAATCTAGTTCTCAATTTTTTAGGAAGAAATGAATGAAAAGTTGTGAGAAACAACTATAACAGTTTCCCATTAAAACTAACTCTGGAAATGGAAACACAAATAAAATGCTATTTTCCTAATTGAGAATCTTGTGAAATAAATGTTTGTATCTATTGAAACAACTATATTGATAGCTGAAATAATAAAACAAGATTGTAATATAAATGTACTTCATTATTACATTTGCAGAAAATTCTCTGGATGAAATGAAGATTAAATCTGAGTTTTTTTCAACTACCCTGTTTAAGGTTTCTTTACTTTGTGAAGTATAACTGTTTCATTTTAAACTATTCAATCATTTTTAATCTCCTGTAAAAATTATCAAAATAAAATAAAGAACTAAATATAATTTATATGCTGTCAGTTGATTAAATTATGCGTGAGCATGTTGTCTTGAATCACTGCAGTTGTTAAGCAAATCTGGCTTCTCCCATTGACTTTGCTTGTCAAATATATGCCAATTGCCCGAATTTGGATCATGATCAGAGGAATTCTGCAATAGTCATGTGAAAACCAGTCATAAGTAACTTTTTCAGTGCTATTAACTTTGAACTATCACAAAACAAATGGTTGTAAGTTGAGAACTACCTGTATTTGTGTTTTATTCCTGAGTTCATTATTTTATCTGCCCTGAATAAAGCCAGGGGTTTTCTCAGAAGCCAAACATTATAGCAGCTTTGATATAGAACCAGTTAATACCTGACTAAAACATATTAGCACTTTAATGCTCCAATAAAGAACAGAACTACACTTAATTTTTATTAAGGAAAATGTTATGTAAGTGAACATTAATTGTTTCTCATCATCTGTTAGAAGCAAATGATTAGAAGTTAACAGAAAATAGCTTCACCAGCATTTATCAACCCCAGAAAATATATTAGGGATTAAATTAACACTTTTGTGAAGCTATTTTGTGATTATATGTTTGAATTATTAGTAAAGTAGGCTTACAGTCAAAATAACATACTAGGAGAAATTTAGAATAGAGTTTTTCACACATTTGAGGGGGGGAGTGTTAAACTGAGATAAAAAGTTGACACAGGAACAATTGGGGAACAAGGGGAAAGTATAAAGGAAAGAATTAGGCAGCCTTGGACTGCTGAAGATGGGCAATCCCAAACTGATTTGAAACCAGTAGTTATATTTTTCTCTGCCCCCATCCTTTCGTCTTAATCTACCTCCTGACTGCATGTGCTTCCACTAGTTCGCTCTTTCTGTGTTTTCTTTTCTTCCAGTCCTCCCAACTTTTCTACTTTATGCAATCTCTTTGTTCCTTTAGAGTGGCAGAATTTTCACTATTGCCTGTTCATTCATGTATTAAATAGGAAGTAGCTTTTCTCTTCCAGAATAAGCAGCAATGATTTTTACTGAGGAAACTACATTGCTTGCTTCCACTGCTGACAAAAGAAAGTGTGCTTTCTTGCTACAGAAAATTCCTTCTCTTCCTTGTTTCAAAAAAGGAAAAGAGGTAGATTAACTTGAACTTCCTGTTTTTCAAAGTTAACATTAAAATTAGTCTGCCAATACTTAAAATTTGGCACTGAATGTCACACTATTTATAGGTAAACTAACTATAGTTACCAGGTTTTTTCTTTGGCACAATAATGCACAGTGGTGGGGCCCGGTGCATTCATGGTGGGAGAAAGCAAACAATTACAGACAGAAAAGTAAAGCAATGTCATAACTTTTTTGGAATGTGGCACCTGAAATGAAAGAGTAGTCCATATTTTTCTGTGTATATTTACTTACTACAGCATTGTTGATGCAAAAATAAGCACCATGTATATTCTAGTTCATTTTACAATAAAATTATTTTTATGAAATACATATTCCTCTAATGACAAACAAGTTAGACTTAGTGGCATATTTATTTCATAACAAATTTTTTAAAAATACAGAAAACAGCTGTGTTGCTTGGGTCAACTTTATAAAAAACCTGACAGGGGAAACTAATAGCTTGTACAATAACATAATTCAAACATCAATCCTTCTTAAGATCACTAAATGTTCTAGTATTCTCACTTTACATTTAAAAAGTAATCAGTACAATAATGCAAAAATAAATTGGTACAGGTCTACAGATGGCAGTCTAATGTAAGGCAAAGTATTAGTAAGGTCTCATACGACCAGAAGGAGGTGGCGCTCGATTGGGTGGTGTAATTGCTATGTCAAGGTAATCCCCTATCTGGAACTTCTGAGACTGCAAAGTCATGGAATCATCTGTGCCCTTTCTTCCCGACATTGTACTGCCAATTTCCTTCACCCTGTAGAAAGAAGCAAAAGGAACCTTATTTTCCACCAAGTTATTCAAAACCAAATAGGAAAAACATGTGAACATAATTATGTAGCTCAAGCTGAAATGTTCAACCTTCTCTGCCCTAGTACTATTTGCTCTGATTGATATGAGATCTCCAAAGCTTTAATCAAGACCCTGGGGATGAAGAAAATATGCCAGAAAACTGGAGTCAAGCATATATCCCGTTGTGTATGTTCAGATTATTTTTCTGTATGTTATATATAACAATTAGTGTTAACGGTTTCCCTCCATTTAGATGTGTGCCTTATTGATCTCAGCAGCTTTTCAACCACAATCCTAGACTTTGATTCATGTGTTAATTATCTTCATCTAAACCTTTTAGTATTAGTTAAGCCAATCTTAATGTTTCAGTACAGCCTTGAGCTTATGGCCCACTGCAAATGCAAAGACTGGAAAGCTGGAAAATAAATATATCTCTTAAAGTTAATGCTTTAAATTTATAGAAAATGTCTACCATGCAACTCAGAAAGAAAGACAGCTTGAATGTGGTCTTGAGAAAAGCATAATATAAACAATTATTTAATTTAATGTAGCTGCCCTACAACTAAGCAATTGTATTGGAAGAACAGATGCTCTCTAAGTGCACAAAAATTCTACACATAATTAGCCATCTGATATTTGCAACTTAAAACACTGGCTACCAAATTTAAGCTCTAATTTTCTTTAGAGAATAATTATTTTTCCTAGGATCAAATAACTTTCTCCATCTGAAAGAAATCAGCTGCTTTCTCCTGAAATAATTGGCAGCTACAGTTCAGAAATATATACTCATTTAGCACCTGCCTGACTTTACAAATATATTTTATAGGATAGGGGAAAATATATAATTAACTATTGTAAGAAGACTTTAATTTACAAACGCTAAGTTCAGTTTACATCATAGTATTAATTGTTGTTCCCTATTGCATGCTACAATTTTCAAACCTTGCAAATAACAACATTGTGTAGACTCTCTGTTACCATTAGTTGTATTACCTGTACCCAGGCCTTTTAAGATCTGTATAAACTATTGCAAAGTTGAAATGTGTCCCCTTCTTCCTTGCTTCTGGATAGACTTCCTTTACTAAACTGGTCAGCTCTTTTAAAGTTGCATCCATCCTGGAGGAAAACAAAATCAAGATCAATTTAGTAAGTGTAAATTTTCACTTTATGATATTAATTCTAAGAAGGATCCACAGAACTGAAAAGTATTGCATCAAGAAATATATTTCTCACTAAATACTTCACAAATATTTCTTTTGGTGGTAAACATCTTTTTAAAAATTGGCTTCCTCTGATTTCCCAAATTATGTGAGCATCCTGACTTTATTTCATTACACACACTTCTTAAGCACCCTATTCCCATTATATTCAATTTCTTATGTTTCTCCTATCCTAACTAAGTCACTTCAAATATTCAGAAACATTTATTTTTGCTTCTTTTGACAAACATTAAATGTACCAAATATTAACCACTGCCTTTCCATCAATATTTGCATGACTTAATTTTTCCATCCATGTACCATTCAAATACCAGAAGATGATGTGTCCTAGGGAGCCATTGGGATTAGGACGTCCAGAAAGGGAAGTTGGTTGTTTGCTTCTATTTCCATGGTGAAATGTATTTTGGGGTGTAGGCTGTTGAGATGTGTGAGGAAGTTGTCCAGTTT